AGGGAAAGTATCCCCTCCTTGGGCCTATCCGTCATGCATCTGCTGATGCACGATAAAGTGCCATTGGCTTTTCTGATGGCTTCGTCACACTGCCGACTCATGTTCATCTTAGAGTCCACTAGGACTCCCAGATCCCTTTCTACTTCCGTTCCACCAAGCAGGTCATTCCCTAGGCAGTAGGTGTGCTGGACATTTTTCCTCCCCAGGTGCAGCACTTTGCATTTCTCCTTGTTGAACTGCATTATCTTGTTTTCTGCCCACTTGTCCAACCTGTCCAGGTCTGCTTGCAGCTGTTCCCTGCCCTCCGGCGTGTCCACTTCTCCCCATAGCTTTGTGTTATCTGCAAACTTGGACAGAGTACATTTCACTCCCTCGTCCAAGTCACTGATGAAGACATTGAAGAGTATCGGTCCAAGGACCGAGCCCTGCGGGACCCCACTGCCCACACCCTTCCAGGTCAAAACCGACCCATCCACCACCACTCTCTGGGTGCGACCCTCCAGCCAAATTAAGACCCACCCCTTGTTTTGGGGCAGGCACATGCACGCAGGCAGGGGGTTCAGGTAGTGTAATATCCTGACTCCCCTCTGCTTAAGATTAGGTACCATATTTTTCTGTGTATAAGGCATCCCAAATTGAGACCTGTGCCTTGTTTTTGGGAAGGGATGTCAGAGGGAACCTGAGCCAATAGTCTGACCCCTGAAGGTCCTTATAGAGTCCTATAGGCCTATAGGAGATGTGACATCTCTGGCACAGCCCCCATCTCCCCTGGGGTCCTGGCCTCTCCCCTCCCCCCAGGGGTCTCACACTGGGCGCTGATGTACTCACGGTGCCATATGCTCAGAGCACGTCCTCTGTCCCTCTCTGCCTCTCTCCTGGGGCCAGGCGAGTGCGTCTGTGGTGCAGGATGTGTAGTCAAATGAAACCAAAAGCACACAGGTGTCCCAAGCTAGGGCTGGGGGTGGAGCTGTGAGATGTTGGGGGGAGTTTCCACTTGTCAGAGCCCCCGGGGAAAGGATTGTCTGCTGTTTCTCCCCACTTTTGAACCCAGCTGGTGGCCCTGACGCCTGACCCCCAGCCCCCCACAGCAGTGTCCCTGATGCCTGACCCCCAGCCCTCTGCTCTCCCTCGGTTCTGGTGGTGCCCCTCACTCCCCACCTGCAGCCCCCACGCTATTCCCCCAACCTCCATTTTTGTGTTTTATTTCAACACAGGAAGTACCTTATGGGAGAGAAGGGGGTGGGTGGAGAGCCGGGGTATGAAGGTAGGAGGGTGGGTGTGGGGATGGACGGATGGGTAGATAGAAATGAGGCACATGTATAGATGGGTGGGTAGGTGGGTACAGCAAAAGTAAAGGAGGTTGATGGCACTGGATAGAGGGACGGATGGAGCGGGAGGTGCCGGGGGTGTGTGGGAAAGCACAGAGGAATGGGTCCGTACACAGCCGGGGTAGAAAGACAGACAGACCAAAGGGCTGGGGGATTGGGGTGACCCTGCGCCCCGGCCTCCTGGTGACCCTCTTGCCCACGGCGAAGCTCTGGGTGAGGGGTGGGGGGGAAGGAGCCACAACAAGAGCTGTGCTGCCCCCCCAGCCCCGTCAGAGTTGCTGGCACCAGCCTCTAGGCGCGGCGGAGGGGGCTGTGGTTATGATGTTTCCTGCCTGGCAGGGCTGGACCTGGGCGCCTGTTCTCCGGGGCGCGGGGGTGAAAGCAGGGGGCTGGGGGCCCGGACCCCTGGGTCCGCCAGGAGAGCGGTGGAGGCTGGGCTGTGAGAGGTGGGGGTCGGTCCTCCCCACCCAGGAGGGTCACGGGTGACCGCGAGGTAACCGCACAGCCGTCTGGCCCCGCCGGGAGGCAAATATTTGTCCCACGCCTCTACCTGCGAGCTAGCGATGGCGTCGTTGCAGAGAGTCTTGGGAGCTGCGGCATCAACGAGTCACAGCCCCGAGGTCCCAGCGCTGTCTTGTCTTAACTACCAGCTGTGGGCTTGGCCCGTGGGCCAAGTTCTGGCCAGGTTTATTGCCTACAAGCGCGGCCCCGCCGTGGACATAGGGCCTGGAGGGAGGGTGCCCGTACCTGTGGGAAGGTCATCGGTGAAGAACCGCGCTGGCTCCCCCGGGCTGCTAGGACATCCCCCAGCTTTCCAATCCTCCTGTTATAATACGATCAAAGCAAGTGATGCATTGCCTCCCAGATGTACCTTGGGCTTGTTGGACCTCCTGCCCTGGCTGCGCCCATCCCAGCCTCCTCATCCTGGGCCTGGACTCTGCTCCCCTCTCCATCATCTCCCCTCCCACGTCACGGCGTGCCAGCCTGCCAAGCCTTCTTCTGGGAGGAGCTCGTGGAGCCATCAGCTCTCATGGTGAGGTCTACTCATGTTGATGCTTCTGCAAAGCCTTTGTGGAAGCAGTATATAGGGACTGATGCTCCAGCAAAGCCCGCCAGCATCACAGGTTGGTTGGGGTTGAGTTAAGCGAGGTCCTTGGTAGGTCGAGGTGGGGTTATGGGCCGAGTTCTGTTGATGGGTGGCTTGAAACTGAGTTGAGTTGGGGTCTTGGGTAGGCTGCAGTTGAGTTGAGTTGAAGTCATTGGTAGCTTGAGGTTCGTACATTCATAGATGTCGGGTCGGAAGGGACCTCAGTAGGTCGCCGAGTCCGACCCCTGCCCTGGGCAGGAAAGAGCGCTGGGGTCAGATGACCTCGGCTAGACGCTTGTCCAGCCTCCTCTTGAAGCCCCCCGGGGTGGGGCGAGCACCACCGCCCGTGGTGCCCTGCTCCTAGAGAGGAGAAACTGCCAGAGAAAGAGCCCTAGCAGGGAACAGGAGCCCACCTGTGGGTTGCCAGGGCAACTGGAGGGAGCAAATGACCCACACCTGCCAGCGGTCAGCTGCCTGGAGGGGGCAGGGCCTAGCTCTTATAAAGCCCAGGGCTGAGGCCAGGCTGGCAGTTCCCTGCCAGCAGCCAGAGAGGAAGGAGCTCCCTCGGCCAGGATGCGGAGTATTTCTTGGTAGGCTTGAGCGTAGTTATAGCCGGGTGAATTCTGTTTATGTTATAGCTTATGGGCTTGTGTTGTTGTTTATTACACCGGGGGCTTGGGTGAGGCTATCAGGGGTTGGAGGAGGCCTCGTCGGGGACTCCCAACGGAGCGTGAGGGCGCAGTATTATTAGGAAGCCCAGAGTGGGCACAGCGAGCCCCCAGGAGGAGGGCAGCATTTTAAGAAGCCCAAGGTGGGCACGGTGAGCCCCGAAGAGGGGAGCGCCTTATTGAGAAGCCTGGTGTGGGCACGGCAAGCCCGGTGAGGCTATCAGGGGTTGGAGGAGGCCTCGTCGGGGACTCCCAACGGAGCGTGAGGGCGCAGTATTATTAGGAAGCCCAGAGTGGGCACAGCGAGCCCCCAGGAGGAGGGCAGCATTTTAAGAAGCCCAAGGTGGGCACGGTGAGCCCCGAAGAGGGGAGCGCCTTATTGAGAAGCCTGGTGTGGGCACGGCAAGCCCTGAGGAAGGCCTAGTGCTGCAGTAAACCCCGGAGAAGGGCCGAGTACTGCGGTGAACCCCGGCGAGAGGGGGTAGTGGCGCGGTGAGCCCCGGGAGAAGGGGGCAGCAGCGCGGTGGGCCCGAGAGTCAGGGGGCGTAGCCGAGAAGTCCCCAGAGTGGGCGTGGAAAGCCCCAGACGGGGGTGTCATTGAGAAGCCCAAGTGTGGGTGCAGAGAGAGCCCCAGAAAGGGGGCATTATCGAGAAGCCCCAGCGCAGGCGTAGCAGGCCCCAGGCGGGGGCGCTATTGCGAAGGCCCCAGACGGCGGGGCGACATTACAGGGA